TGGGGTGCCCGCTCAAATCCCGTACTTCAGTTCTGGTGTCCAGATTCTGTCTTACTTCTGCTTGGGACCCAGCATAGGTAACCTGCCAGATGGCATAGCATTTCTTGACCTAAGACCCAGTGGTGCTGCTGTACCCCCTGGCCTGAGGTAGAACCCTGGCCCAGGATGTTGCAGGCCGGTGACTTGCACAGAGTACCCTGGTGCAGCAGCCCTGCCTGGAAAGTGTTTTACCTGTTCTAACATTCATGTGCTCAGCCACTATGTTGGGTACCCTCCGTCCAAGATGAGGCCTACATTGCTCCCATTTACTCTGATTAATCTCTTTTCTCTTATTCTCTTAGAACACTCTGTTCTGCCTTCTGGACCAGAGTTTTTCCTGGCACTGACATCTTGTTTCTGTCCCCTCATCCCCAGCCTCCGCCTGGTTTCCCAACTCACACTTAACCTAATTACGTCCAGCCCTGACTGGCAAGAGGCCCTATGCCTTTCTTTTCATTGGAATCCAGTTCTCACCTGAAATGGAAAACTCTTCACTAGGAATGTCCACCAGAAACAGCAGAAAAGATCAAGCCACTGCTAGAGCACAGCAGACAGAGAAAAGAAGGATGAGGGCTGCACAGCCCTGCTAGCCGTACAGGGTCTGGCTGGCCGACTGCCCTTCTGACCTTCAGGGGCTGCTGGTGAGAAGAAAGTAGAAACTCACCAGGTTGAAGGGCAAGGTCCTTTCTGGTCTGCAAGACCCATACAGCCTCTCAGCATGTCATGGTCACCCTGTCACGCACACACCGTTACAGAGCCATGGAAAGTATTTGGAATCCCCAGCCTAGGGCACTCTCCACCAGCAGTTCCCTTCCTGGACCGCGGTTTGAGTCTCAGCTCAGGTACCCCACCATTTTGTTGGGTCTGAGGCCTGTCCTTTATTCTCTTCTTGAACTCCGTGATTTCCCAGGGGCGAGTTGATTACTGTTACCCTGACAACTCCAGATCCTGGCAATAGCAAGTGACCAGGAAATTCTGAATGAATGAATGAGCTAGTAATTAATTCAGCTGCTGTCCCTCTACAATCCCAAACACAAACCTCTCCAACCACACTTGGAAAAATGTTCATCTTGTTTGTAAAACACTGGACTATGAATCAGTAAACCAGACTTTTGTTATAGTTTTTGTCTTCACCAATTGAGAATAAACAGCCAAAAAGAAATGTTGCTTAGCTGTGGCCTCCCCGCTCTGTGCTTGGAGCCAGCAGTACAGGGAGGAGCCAGATAGGGCCACAGTCTAAAGTGGAAAGCCCTCCCTTGGGTAAGAACAGTCTCTAAAGGAAAGTCCTGCTACATACTTTGGGTCTTTTCATCGAATGGCTTATGCATAGCTCATCATCTCTGAGGTTCACGGGCAATTTTTCAAACAAGCCCAGGACTGACTCTTGAAACTTGTGTTGCCTTCGCCTTTGTCTTCCTGTGTACATGTCTTTCATTTTTAAAGTTTGTGCATTGAATTTAATGAGTTAGTATGTAATGTGCTTTTGTGCCATTTGAGAAAACAATTTCCATCTGTTCATATATTGTTAAAAAGTAATGGTTTCTTTCTTTCTTTTTTTTTTTTAAATCTAATCCCTCCCCTATTTCCTCCCTCCACTCAAAGACTGAATCTCAGATCCTTTGAGGTCCAACATAATTTAAGTGTTAATTCCTTTCTAAGCTCTTTTCAAGCTACTGCACTCACCATGCAGATTTTATTAAACCTCATAGTCTCTTCATACTGATGTCTCAGAAAAGGCAAAGTAACTCCTGCTGTATATTAAAACATTTGCTCAGGAGTAGTGCCTTTTGTCCCTATTTCTGAATATTTATTTATTTGGCCTCTGGAAAGAAAACAGAAGTCTGTTAGAACTAAAGGAGAATGCAGGCTCTGGCTTCTCATCTCATTTGTGGAAAACATCTGCTTATTATAATTCACAGGACTAACATTTCAGGGTTTGCAGTCCTGAGTGGTTTTAGCCTTAAATCATCCTGCATTGGCAAACAATAGTGAGGACCAGGCCAGGAAAGAAACAGATGAAGCCTATGTATGGAATGAGATTAAATTAAAAGCACAACCATGCCCATATTCCCATGGCCAGTACTTCTATGTCTAATATATGCACCTTAGAAGCCAATATATTATTTCAGTGATCAAAATGTGGAAAAGCATTCTATTCTGGACCTTCTTTAGAGTTAGCATCTGGATCAGCAGGGAAAATCTTGATTTTTTTCTTTAAGGATAAAGTATATTTTAAAAAGCAGTGGCATGTATAAGCTGACTAATCAAGTTGGGTCATTCTATGTGGAAATTTTGAAATAGTGATATTTAAACATATTTAAATATAGAGCAGAGACTTGGACCATAGTTCTACTATCATTTGTTTGCTTTGGGAGGTCCAAAATTTTACTAAACGGCTTTAAGCTCAATTTCTTTACCTATAAAATGGGAATGATGCTTGTGGAACTTTGTGAGGATTAAATGAATAGTTGGAGTTTGAATCTTGTTTTTGTCACTTCCAAACTTTATGTTGCTTATATATCTCTTCTTCCTAAGCACCATCTGCATGCAGTCCTGGAGTCCTAGGAGTGCTAGTGCTCTAAGGGATAATAAATTCAGTCAAAGGGTCCCATGTCACAGGTGAGAAAACAGAACCATGAGTACAAAGAAAGCACCTGGAATGTCAAGGTGACTTCTAAAAGAAAATGCTTCTTTTGAATTTAAATTTAGAGCTTAACCACCACCACCACCCCCCACACACATACACACAAAGCCCTCATTTTTACGGAAGCCACTCTGGTAAGCTATGAAATTAAATGGAGTTTCTAATAAATGAAACATGTTTTCTCCTGAGATTACAGATCAGGGTCACACTCTTTATTATGACCTACCCATGGGAGGAATGGGCCTATCCAAAGCAGCAAGAGGAATACTAGCTGCCTTTTTCCAGAAAGAAAAAGCTTTTGCCTAGCCTTCCATATCCTCTGGAGCATCTTAGTAAACAGAGGGTACAGTTGTCATCACTTCTGCCTCTGGGCTCATCCAGCCTTTCAGCACAGGTAAGCCAAGAGTAGGGCCATGCATAAGGCTAGGGGACAGGCTGGACATGAGAGCATAAAAGGAGGTGGCGGGGGACAGAAAGAAAGAATGGGAATGATCTAAGATGAAGGGAGAGAAGGAGCCAGGAGAGTAGGAGATGAGAAGAAATGTCATCCGTGCAGAATGGAGGAGAGTCACCATGCCCTCCCTCAGTGGCATCTGTGTACCTGGGAACATCAGAGATAGCATTGTTTTCTGCAAACAGAAAAACCCTCAGAAGAGGGATCCCCTTGCAGATAAGTCTTACAAAAGCAGTGCAGTATTTTAATAGCTCCTGCTCTTAGAAAAGGCTTCCTTTTTTCTGTATAAAATTGGCAGATAAAATTGTGTATATTTATGGTAAAAAAATATTTTGAAGCATATATATACATCATAAGACAGTGAAATCTAGCTAATTAACAAAGGCATTGCCTCACATGGTTACCACTTTTATGGTGAAACCACATAATATCCACTCTGCATTTTTCAAGAATATAAGATATCATCGTTAAGAATAGTCGCCATCCTGTACAACATGAACTTATTCCCCATATGTAACTATAATGCTGTATCCTTTGACTAACATCTTCCCAACCTACCTCTTCAACCACTCCAACCCCTGATAACTACCATTCTACTTTTTACTTCACAAAGTCAACTTTTTACATTTGCAGATGTGGCACTGTTTGTCACTCAGCCTGGCTTTATTCACTTAACATACTCTCTTCAGGTTCATTCATGTTGTCACCAAAGAAAATATTTCTTTCTTTTATGGATGAATAGTATTCCATTGTGTACACATATACCACAGTTTCTTTATGCATTCATCTGTTGATGGATGTTTAGGTTGATTTCATACATTATCTATTCTGAATAGAACTGTGGGAATCATGGGAGTGCAGATGTCTCTTTGACACACTGATTTCATTTCCTTTGGATGTGCACCTGGTAGTGGGATTGCTAGATCATATGGTAGTTCTATTTTTACCATTTCCCATAATGACTGTATTAATTTACATTCCCACCAACAATATATAAGGGTTCCCTTTTTTTCCAAATGCCTGCCAACACTTGTTATCTTTTGTCTTTTTAATAATAGAGGTCCTACATTAAAAAAAGTTCCTGATGTTTCCTTGAAAATTAATTGCTTTATTATCCCACTAAAACAATTTTTATACTTTTGGATGTGTTTGTTTTTTTTTTTTTTTTTTTTGGTTTGTTTTACTTTTGTACAGGTATAAAGATTTCTGCTGATTGAAGAAAATGTGATTACCCAATAGAATTCTGCAATGTATATAGCTAATTTTTTTCCTGTATATCTGTAAACCAGCCATAGTAGTTATAACCATTCTTTGCCCAACCACTACCCCTGCACCTTCCCTCAGGAGAGCTGGGTTAGGTGGGAGCTGAGTGATCATTATAAAATCTGCACATATAAATTGAACTTTCCCAAATCTAGGTCAGTTGGGCAGGAAGACTCTTTTGATAAAACTAGCTGACAATTAGATTCACAGGGCACTTCAATGTTAAATGATATTCTTCCCGCATTCTGGGTTATAAGGCTGTATAAACAGTACACTGATGTTAAGAAACAGAAAACAGATTCACAGTAATAGTGAAGCTTCATGGTGCATGGTTTTACACTTTAATAGGCTGTGTTCTGTTCTGCCATGTTAATATTTTAAGTAATATAATTTCCTTTTCGTGTAGTTTCGGGTTCATCTTTTTTTATTTCTCTGTTTACCTTTTGAAATAGCTTTCTATAGTGCTGCATCTATGCCATGAGAAATTCCTGAAAAACAAAAAGTATAAAGTCAAATAATCTTTGCAGGAAACTAACAAAAACAGTTTTGAAAATGGATTTAAGATTCTGCCACCAAAATGTTATCTTGTGTGCTTTACAGATTCAATCTGTGTCCCAGGCTTTGATCCAAGCCTCAACATGATGACTGGAATAACCCCCATTAACCCAATGATACCAGGCCTGGGTCTAGTACCACCCCCACCACCAACAGAAGTGGCAGTTGTCAAAGAAATAATCCACTGCAAAAGTTGTACTCTTTTCCCTCAAAATCCAAGTAAGTAACACCTATGAGAAATATTTGTTCATCATTTTAAATTTCTTTTTTTTAAATCTGAAATATTATTGCATTAATTTTCATATATGACTCACACATGCATATATAAAACCAGGAGCCTTTTTAAGAAAACTTTTGTCTCTTGATTGGAACAGATATACAAGGACATGTCTGTGTGTCTGTGTGTCTGTCTAGGGGCTGACATGACACTTCAGAGCCAGTACCCGGGATTTGGGGATTTATCTCTAGCATTAAGAATCTTTTTGCATGCAGTGAAGCCTAGCATTTCCTGGAAAACATAATGTGAAATATATAAGCACTTCCATCTATCTTCACAAATGTAGGAGAAAAACTCCAAAATGTGTTTTGCTAGATGGAAATTTGAATTAATTTGGCAGTTAGCAATTTTGGGGCAGGGGGAGCCTGCATCTCAGAATTTCTGAACCAGATTGCATTTGCCAAAGGAATCCATACATTTGATGGAGTAAATAGGCTGGGAATTTTTTTTTTTTTTAATTTAGCCTCAGATACAAAGTTTATGGACTTAAATAGCTAGGATTTTTTTTTTATTCATATTAATCAGTGTTTCCTTTTTTAAGTGGACTTTTCAGGAGATTGCTTTAGTAATCTACATATAAACTAGGTAAAATGTGTGACAGTGTACATTTTATCTTTTTATACAGCCTCCCCCAAATTTAATAGTTTTCTCATTTAAATGTGAATAATAACAAAGTATTTTTTTCAGGCATGATGTTTCACAGCCAAGTAAGTATTGTGTGTGCTTCTCTGGGTTGTGCTTCCTGTGTTCAGCCTTTTCTCTCCTTTACCTAGCAACGAGACAAAGAAGATAACAAGCTGAGGTTTCTCATCATGTTGTTATTTCATCATGTTTTGTACTTTGTGAATGTTCCCCCGCCCCTTTCTGGGCCTCTGTGTTATAAAGAAGAAATGAAATTATGCTAACATGTGCGTTATCTTTGTTCATGGACAAGCACAGTCACTCTATGTAGAAATGAACACAGAAAGTAAAGATTGGTAGGAGGAGGGGAGAGGAACCTTTTAAAACAAGACAGCCCAGGAAAAATGTAAGTTGGGACAGAAGTTGACCTTTACTCAGCCTGGACAGAATAACTGGGGCAAGCTTTACCTTTGCCAGGGAAGCCAGGAAAAGAGAGCCAATCAATAAGACAAAACTTTCTATTTTGTTGTGATATTAGATCTCCCACCTCCTTCCACAAGAGAACGACCTCCGGGGTGTAAGACTGTGTTTGTCGGAGGATTACCAGAAAATGCTACGGAGGAAATTATTCAAGAAGTCTTTGAGCAGTGCGGTGATATTACAGCCATCCGAAAAAGCAAGAAGAATTTTTGTCACATTCGCTTTGCAGAGGAATTCATGGTTGATAAAGCCATTTACCTTTCTGGTACTTTGCATTACATAAGGGGTTTTCTAGGCATTTTGTCATGTTTTGTGATGTTAATATGAGCTTATTCCCTTTTGCCTTAATGCACAATAAAGCCCAAATACTTTGGGGCTACAGAAGGAGGAATTCTGTCTTTTTCCTTGGCTCCCAGAAGCTCTCTGTTAAGCCTGTGAATGTACCTCACTGCAGGAATGATTTCCTACCCTCCAGTCTTAAGGAATTCCATCGAGTTTCTAATTAATGCTCTCAAGTACTTATTAGATGAAAAGCAATATTATGAGTACGGAGGACCATTATTATTATTGGATGTAAATCCACTGGGGGAGTAAAGTACTCTCAGAATAATTTTAGTTTTTTTAGAAGTGAATTCACTTTTTTGACACCAGGGCACCAAAGCAAGATCAGTTCCTTTCAGGAAAGTGGCTTAGGGGCATGATAATAAAGCTCAGTATCATGCCCACTTGATGGTTCCTTAAGACTAACCTCCTGGGACTGGGGTTGTGGATCAGTAATAGAACGCTGGTCTAGCCTGGCATGTGTGAGACACTGGATTCCATTCTCAGCACTGCATACAAATAAATAAAATTTAAAAAATTATAAAAAAAGATCCATCAACAACTAAAAATATTCATATAAAAGACTAACTATCCTTAGTCTTTGGTGGCAGTTTTTATAAGAGATTTTTACAGATGTTGAAATGAAGCCTAATGTTGCCTCCCACTGTGTGGGTGTTAAAGTAAGTGTTATGGAGTCTGTCAACAGGCTTTTGCCAAATCTAAGAACAATGGGACTATTATTAATATAAGGCTTTCAGAGGACTTATTTTTTAGGTTCAACTTGATTACCTTTCCCTCGAACCCTCCAATGCCGTTTTCCAGTCGGCCACTCTGCATACCACCTCTCTATTCCTAAGGCAAAGCTAATGGGGGAAGGTGGGAAAACAACAGGAGGGGAAAACCATGTGATAGTACTGGGAGATTTTACTTAATTTCTGCAATCAGCCTTCATTGCCAGGACCTTCTGTACAAATCCCAGAAGCATTGAGGTTTTCTCAGTGCCCCAGAGATTTTCCTGAACCAGATAATGACACAGGGAACTTTTAAACCTTTATTCCAATGAATCCTTAGAAAGTGAAAAATGAAGTCTGAAGGCATTCCACAATGGAGATGGAAGACAAACCTGGAAGAAAGACATTTGGCAACTCACTCACAGCTACTAGGCCACCAGGGATTCTGGAGAGGATAGGGCACTGGGTTTCCCATACCCTGATCTGGATGACCTCTCTTCCAGCTTCCACTTCCTCATCTGCACAATAGAGATCCTTACAATTTACCAAGAAGACCGCAAAGACTAAATCAAATGATGTTAAGTGTTTAGCAGGTACCTGTGATAGGAACCATTCAGTACATGGCTGTTTTTAGCAGAAGTATCCTGATCAGGATAAAGAACTGCTTCTTATTTCTCAGCAAACTCTGCCCTAGGGACTTGGGTTCTAATCATGGCTCTATCAATAATAGTACTACTTTATCCCTCCTGATTCAATGAAAGGGTTAGAGTAGATCATAGGTCTTTTACAACACTAGTTTAGACCCAACCCAGTACTTAGACCTAATCAGAGCCTCATAAGGACACTAACAAGGATGAACAGTCTCAGATTTAGGCATCCAAAAGGTATTCCTTTCTTTAGTCTTTGGTCCTTGCTTTTCCTATCTCAGCAAGTCCCTGATGGCTCCTTGGTCCACCCCTTTGCAGAAGGATGAAGCACCAGCACAGGTCTCAGCTGCAGCCTCCCTGCCTGGGTGTAGAGGTCTCCAGCCTGCCTTGGCTGCCCTGTGGAGGCTGCAACATCAGAGCCAGGATGATCTGAAAGGCTGGCTAATTGAAGGGGTAGGAAGGCAGGCAGGCTATACCCCAAACCCTGCATGTGAGCTCCTGCAAGCCCAGCCCAGCTGGAAGGCTTATCTAATTTTAGACCCATGTTTGCATTTGAGGGCCAGGCTAATTTTAGTCTCATCCTCATCAGGGTCTCTTTTAGGGCCTTAATGATGATGTTTTGGTGAAAGAGAGGATGTTGGAACCAGAAGCATGAGACAAGTCATTTCTCTGTACATAAGCGAGAGAAAGTTGCTGGGCCAGTCGGGGCAGCTGGCCAGTCCCAAGCAGTCTAGCCAGCTCAGCTGTTACGTAGGTATCACCATGGCCTGCTGACTTGTTAACTTTCCATGGCCCACAACCAAGACACATTTTACTCTAGCATTAACTCTGCTCATCTGGGAACAGCGCATTTTTGATTGGTATTGTGATGTCTTCCCATTTTTAGATAACACTTTGGAAACCTAGGAGGGAGAAAAGTTCAGTGGCATGCAGGCATCAGATGTGAGATCTGTATCTTATTTGTAACTTTTGAAAGTTATGAAGTGCCCTACCTAGGGGGAAGCCAACCTCTACAGGGATTTTTCAGCTGTATTTTAACCCAAAATGCTACAATAATCCATTGAAACCTACCATGAGATCTTGAATACCAGCATAGCACAGCCTAGCATTCTGTAGTCGTATCTCATTTGCAAAGCCCCTGCACAGCAAAAGTGCTTATTTTGCTCTCTCCTCTGGCAGCCCCTGGCAGTCGTGTTCCTGCTGGGACCTGAATTTATGTTCTGAAAATCTGAGTAGCCCAAACTGAAGAACAACCTCAAAGTCAACTCTTCTTCATTTGAAGTTGGGCTGGCTGGCTGGTTTCAGTCCTGTGTTGATTTCTCAGATCTAGTTTTTGCTCATAATCTTTATAAGTTTCGTAGCTCACAGTAAATCCCCCAAAGATTTCCAGCCCCCCCCCCTTTTTTTTTCTGGCCTAGCTTTGTGCTCTTGCATAGGGCTCCCGTGGCCTTCAAAGATTGTATGGACAATTTGTATGATGCTGCATGCAAGATGAGGGTGCTGCGGGGTTGCAAGGGAGGCAGCATTGAGGCCTCTTGATTGAAGGTAAAATATTCTCCTGCATGCCCCAGATGATAAGTGGAAATAAAACAGCATTGCAAAATTGCCTTGGTAATTGTGGCTTTTGCAGCTGCTGAGAGAAAACTGAGCAGCCGTATTTTCTAGGGGAATGAAGCAACAGCCTAAGTGAGGTGTTCTGGAATTTACTTTGGAGATCTTTTTAAATATCATAGATGCTCTTTATTTACTCATACCTCCCACCCCTCTTCTACGAAGAATTTAAGAGTGCTTATGCAATAGAGTTATAGTAAATTGAAAATAAAAACATCAAGGCCATAAAAGGGCAGGAATAAAAAATATACTACATACCAAATTTGTTTCTGAGCTTCCTGGAAGCCAGAGGGAAGAAGGAATTACCACAATTTGACCCCTGCTTCTTAAGATCATCCTCTGTTGGTGACACTGGGTTGGAACATGGTTAAGACATCCTCTGAGATACCTCCCAGAGTTATCTTTATTCTCATACCCTAACAGGCTTAATTAATTTAGTAGGGCTTCAGGGTCTTTGGGGAGGAGAAGTGCTTTCTTACCTCTTTGTGGGAGATGTCCTGTCCTGAGGGCGAAGGAGTTAAGTGGTTTGCCTAGCCCCAGTGAGGGCCTGGAACAGAAGTGAGTCCATGGTGACCCTGATATGACCAGACTTTCCACTGGTTTCAGGTTACCGGATGCGATTAGGGTCTAGCACAGACAAAAAGGATTCAGGCCGCCTTCATGTAGACTTCGCCCAGGCCAGGGACGACTTCTATGAGTGGGAATGCAAGCAGAGGATGCGAGCCCGTGAGGAGCGGCATCGTCGCAAGCTGGAGGAGGACCGGCTCCGGCCGCCCTCACCACCAGCCATAATGCACTACTCAGAGCACGAAGCAGCGCTGCTGGCAGAGAAGCTGAAAGGTAGGAAGCCACCATGTGTGCTGGTTTTTCTTCCTGCACCACAGTCACTACTGAAAGAGAAAGCAGTGATCCTCAAATGCCGGAGTCCTGTGTGTTCCTGTTGTCCCTTTCCTGCTGGTTTCAAGTGAGCCAAAGTGTTGACACCTAGGCTTCATCGTCCTGCTCGGGACAGAGCCGTGCCCTTCCCACCATCAGTGTGTGTGTACTGTCATATGACCAAACTCACTGAATGATGGGGCAGAACTGTGGACAGCAGTAAACCCAAGAGCAGGCTCTTGTCCTCTGGCCTGGTGTTGAGTGAGCCTGGGAAGTAGCTTCATCTATGGTTTGGCAGTTCCTAGTATTCCCAGAGCTTTGTGGAGTTTGCATCCACAAGACTCTACTCGTCTCGTAACTTCTTGAGCCATGTCAGACACTGTGCTAGGTAGGATCCATTGCGGGATAGAGGAGGACCTCTGTATTTCATGGAGGCCCATCTTCAGAGTTGGAGGTGAAGGAACACTCTGAACGCCTACAGATGAGTAGCAGCAGAAGAAAGCTATTTCATTTCCTTCAATGTTTGCTGAGGCTTCCCCTGGGTTTAAGGACACTACTCTACTGAACATCGTAATGATTGGAAAGAGGCTAGAGTTTGTCATTAGGATGATGTGTGTGTGTGAATTCAGTTCTATTTTTGACCAAAGTTGTGAGAGCTGAGTAACATTGGATATTTTATAGGCAAGCAATGGACAGACCATCTTTGGGTCATTGGTTGCTGTCAGGACTAGCATAGGTCGCAGTTGCCATAGGCAAGTGTCCACAGGGAAATGAAAAACTGTGGAATGAAGCACATGGATAGCCATCAGCCCAAAGCTGTGCAATATGCTTTGGGAAATCAGGCAAGTGCAAGGTGTCGAGAAGGTCTTCACAGAGCAGGCAGAACTGGACCTTGGCAGAATAAACAAGATTTTCTTCCAAGATTATAAGGGAAGTCGGGGGCACGTAAAGGCATTCTATCCAGAGGTTGGAGCCCTAGAAATAAAGACACTTGGGAAGCAGGGAGGAATGTGGCCCAGGTGCTGCATTTATAGAAAAAGGTGAAGCTAGAAAAGCAGTCTGGAACCTGAAAGGCTATTGCTGAATTTGGATTTTATTTCATAAAGAGAAGAGTGAGAGGAAAAAATTCCAGGTGAGAGGAGGGGTGTGGCCAGTCCTAACTGTTTCAGAGCCTAGCTGATGTGTTTCTGGCAGTGGCTTAAGTGGATGGTATGTTTTCACCAAAGAAAATATATGAAAATCTGCCTGACACCTCTTTTAGAAAGATAAAAAATGACATTCTGTGCTTTAAAATAAAAGGCCTGTGCTTCTAGCCCTCAACCCCCTGTCCAGCTAGGGAATTCCTAATCAGCCTCAGTTGCCACTGCAGTGCCCCTGTGTAACCATGGAGCACTTCTTACTGACACTTTAGGTGCAGATTTTGTTGCTCTCTGGAGACCTATCAGATGGGCATAAATACATAGGCAGTGGCTGCCCCTTCAATAAAAGTCACACATGGTGTAAATACAGACCTCATCTCACTTCTCCAGTCAGCTTAGAAACCACAAGTATCCAAAATGAGAAAGAGCAATATTCTCAGCCAGGAATGTTCATTGGAACAAATAATTTCTTCTTTAATATTCAGTTCTTTATGTGGTCTCAACTCCTGATCTACATGGACTAAATTATATTTATTCACATCCATCCCTAGAAGTGACAAATACTAGTACCTTGGTTCTGCAACCTCCTGGAGGAATTTCATGAAAGTTTTGCATCTACATTATGTTGTTTTTAAGAAACCAGCCCAGAGACATCTATGCATGTATGAGGTACATGGCATTTGCCTCTCCTTTTAGAGGATAGCAGATTGGGATGTCAATTTGGTAGAGTAATTTGCAAGCCTTGCCATTTAAAAAATATATATTTATATAGATGAGTATAATTTGCAAAATTCAGAAGCTGTACCTTTGCCAAGAACTGAGTGATCCCTTGAGGAGAGAACAGATTGGAAATTTTAATAGATGGCTGTTACAGTAGAATGAACTAGCTGAGAATACATCTTAGGCAAGAGTCAGGTAATATCAGGCTTGACAATTTCAACCCAAGCACAGAGTTTGGAATATAAACAGCATTTAATTGCTTAGGAAATTGGCTGCCTCAGAGAGGAAATCCACTCCATGCTCCTTATAACACTGCAAAGCCAGACAAGAGGAGCCAAGGAAACTGTTTCCCTGAAGATGATTTCACTGATGTGGGGCTATAAAATGCAGTCAAGATGTAAGGTACGGAAACCTGTGTCAGAAAAGCAGTGAAAAAGCTATCTGAAAATACCTAATTGGATTTGATTTTTTTCCTCCCCTGAGAAATCTTGCTATCTTAGGTTTATTACAGACATTTTCTTCCATTTTACATCATACTTATTTATTCTTACAACTTTTTTTTTTTTTTTGAAGATCAGCTTCATTCAGCAAAACCTGTATAAGCCAATTCTTTCTTATGGCTCATGCCCTGATGGTGCCAGAACTATACACAGTAGGTGTTCAGAAATGAATTTCTTTCTCTCTTTTCCATCTCTTTGATGCGTGGGCATACTGCTTTTCTGGCCACTAGCGCTGCTCAGTGTGTCAGAAAACGTAGGGAAGGATGTGTGTCTACTCAGCTCTCTCTCCTGTCACTCAGGAAGTATTTGCTGAGCATTCTACTACACAAGCCCCTGCCTTACAGAGGTGAGGCAATAACAAATCACTCTAAACTTGCCACTTACCGTAGTGGGATTGTTATTTTATGATAATAGTATACTTTTATAAGTTGGCAAATGCAGGGTATTCTCCCCAGGTAGATAGCTTACTCAGTGGGGCAGTGCAGGGCTCAGAAAGGGAACATCTTCTAGGACCAGGGCACCCCCATTTATTGGCTGCTGGGCCTTTGAAGCCAGGGGAAACACTGAGTTGTAATTGTACAGTGTCTAAGGCACGAAGTCACCCAGCATCTATTACAGTAATATAAATTCTAAAAAAGAAAATCAGCAGGCACCCTGCTGATTAAATAGACATTGTTCGGAGACAATTCAACCTAATGAAGACTGACTGGGAAGTAACCACACACGGACCCAAAGTTTATGGCATGGCTTTGAGAAAGTGAGAAGGAGCTCGATACACCATAATTACACTTTATTGGAAACAGTGGCACCAGGCAGATGAGATAATGAATTTCTGTGTGTCTAGCCCAGACCATCCAGCCCTGGAGGAGCCCTGTGTTTGGGCTGTGCAAGGAAAAGATTGATTAGACCGTGCGGAAGGATTATATCCTAATTCACGGGGGATTTCTCTGGGCAAGAACATTAAAAAGTTTTTGTGTACTTTTTCCCCTTTGGAAAGCTGCACATAATCTTTCATTATGTGTTGAAATGAAGAGTTTCTGTCTGTGTCAGGTGAAATTGTAGGAAGACTCTGCACATGGTGCCCTTAGGATTCCCTGTGTGTCATCCGGAATCCAGTCCTCCTGGGATCATACTCATCTCCAGAGGACTGAGATTTGCATACAGAGTGGCCCAAGGATCAGCCTGCCAGCGGGAGGTAGGTAGGTAGGGAGGTACTGGCATTTTACTGAGATGGTTGTCAATATTTATGGTTCCATGAAAATAAAAATCAATAATGCTATGAGCCAAATGGACGTTCCATTAGCTAAAAGCTAGAACTCCTTCTTCAAGCAAGAGGAATATGAAGCACAGGAGCCTGTTTGAGAATCACTTGCTTCATTGTTATTGACCTTCATAGAGGCAAGATAGGCCATTTCATTTAGAAACATTTTGCTTGGCCCTGAAGCAGAAATAACCAGTACATTTTCATATTGTCCCCTTAATTCTCTCATTTTTACAGACAATAATAATAGGGGAGATTGTGTGTGTGTGTGTGTGTGTGTGTGTGTGTGTGTGTTGGGGACATAGAGGAGCATTAGCCACTTATAAATATCCTTTTATGCCATCTGATTGGTTAATTGATGCATAGTTCATTGAGCAGCCAGAAATGGAGACTCATTTGAGAATTGTCTTAGTTTTCCAGTGCTATAATAAAATACTTATATCTGGATCATTTATAAACAATAAAAGTTTGTTTAGTTTATGGTTCTGGAGGATGGAAAATTAAAGAGCATAGCACCTGCTTCTGGGGAGGGCATTTATGCCACAGTACCCCTATGGTCAAAGGAGGAAGGACAAGCGAGCGCACAAGATAGAGGATGAGGACTTATTTGTCCTTTCACCAGGAGCACGCTACCATGATAGTGGCATGATCCATTCATGAGGGTCCCATCTCTTAATACTATCACAAGGTAATTAAATTTCTCCACAAGTTTTGGAAGGGATATTCAAACCATAACAGGTACACCCAGTGGAATTTTCGGAATGTGGTAGCAGCAATGCGTTGACCATGCTGGAATTCCAAATCTACTTAGATCCACACATGACTGTACTCTGTAAGCAATGTCCAGCTGTCATCAAAGCCAGGAATTGCTGATAGCTATATAGATACACAATTTATTGTATGTCCACATCCTCATTTCTTTGGGAAGAAAAGTTTTATATAATGTCTTTTTATTTTTATTGTTTTCACTTTCTTTCTGTTCAAACATGGAACACCCTCCTCTTGTTCCTGTGTAGAACAATAAGTAAAAGCACTGTGGCCCACTTAAATTTCATATTCCATGTTTATGGCCTGGCTTAGAGCCTATCACTGTTCTGAAATTCAAGGCTGGATCTCCCTGAGCACACAAAAAGGTAGGAAAAAACTACTTACCACTTTGGTTCCTTCCCCCATCATTTTCTACATATCAATTTTATTAAAATTCACCAAACATCCACCCCTTTCTGCCTTGCCTTGAGGTTTCAGACATGACTATAGCAGGAGCCCTGCTTTTGAAGAGTGTGTTAAAGGACCTATGGTGGTGAAGTCATGACTGTCTTACAAATATAAAATGAGCAGTTGCCA